TGCTGGCAGGAAGAAGAACGCACCGAAGAAGATCCCGCTGATAAGCTCTGATAGCTCTTCTGAGGAGTCTGAAGGTGACATTTCTTTTGATAGTTCAGACTCTGAGGATGATTCGCACCGAGTCTCCGAGATGAAATCGCGTCGCAAGGTATCCGGTCTCCATCTGGGGTTTCGCGGCCTCCCAAAGCGCATGGCGCAGGTCCTAGTACAAGGAGGCAGGGACTTCGAGGTTCTCTTCGACCCACTTCAAGTCGAGGTGACAACTGTAAAGGAGCTCCGCTTATTGTTCCGCTACTTCAAAGCGAATCAGATGCTAACCTCGCAGCTTTGTCGCGCGAACGGACTCGACGAGGATCCGTCCAAGTGCCTCAGTCAGTTGCAAGAGGCCCCCGTCTACATCGTCCGCCCGGAGTACCGTATCGAAACCCAGCTCTCTTTCCCCCCAGCCACACGCCGGGCACCGATGGAGATTCGCAGATGGCTGACCCACGGGTCGATCATCCCCTGGGTGGAGAAGCTTCAGTCAAAGGCAGGTCCAGTGGAACGGGACAATGCAGACGGGTACCTGGCCCGCGAGATCATGGTAGTGGGAATGGTTCTCGCGTCTCTGTTAGACGAGTGCCATCCAAGGATAGTAGTCTATCTCGCTGGGGTCGAGCGATTGGTTCGCCGCCTTCTGGTAATCGAGAGAGCACTGACAATGGACCGAAAGGAGCGAGGAGCCTTCTACGAAAAACAACTCAGCTTCATGGGGATCGGAGGGGGGGCACTGCCGGCTACGGCAGAGCTCCTATAAAGGAGAGTACTGACTTGGCCCCCAGGTCTTTCTTACCATTTCGTGACTGGAGCAATGGGGCGACGACAGGCACGCGCCTCGCTGCTGCTATGAAGTGGCTAGAGACCGGCATTTCCCCAACGGCCACCCAAGATAACGTCCCGAACCGCGAAATGGGTGAACTGTTGGGGAGAGCTCACATACGGGAGGCAGTAATCCGTACTGTAGCTCTTGATAGAGGCGGCGTTTCGGTAGACGCGGATGCCGAGCTTGTTTCTGGATATTTCGTGGGGCAGGACAGGGGCGACTACTGCAAGTTGGATTGGGAACTTGTGGCGATCCCTGGCCCCTCACAAGCCGTTACTGCTGATCTAAGGGAGATACTTGCTCCCGAAGATCATTACCTACTTACACGTGAGTATTTGATTCAACCTAAGAATGATTGGCCTTCGCGTGCTAGCTTGAAGAGTAGCCGCGTGCACCTTGGTGTAAAGGCCGGGCACTACCCTAAGCTGTTGCACCGCATGGCTGAAAGTAACATGATTGTCTACCTTGAGCCTCGAGATGACGTAATAGAGAATTCATTGTTTGGTGTGTGGAAGGAAGTTGGGGTTAGCCAGCGACTTATTTGGGGCGGGAACCGGTCCAACCCCTTGTTTCGACCAGAGGCCAGTTATGTGGAGTTGCCGACCCCCGATCTTCTTGCTGACCTATACCTACCACCCGTTGAACGTCTCTACCTCTCGGGCTGCGACATATCACAATATTATAACCGTCTCAAGGCCCCGGATTTTCTCGTACCGTTTCTGGGACTTCCCAGGATTCGGTCAAGCCAGGTCAGTAGCTCTGCCCGGACAGAGTACGTTGTGCCCTGCCTCCAATGCATTCCGATGGGCGCGAGCTTCGCCGTTCACTTGGCACAGGCAGCCTCCTTGTCCATACTACGAAGATCCCGCTTGCAGTACCCCCCACTGACGCGGGAGACGATAGATATGTACCTTAGGGGGGGCGAAGGGAGGCCCTTGGCGTATATTGACGATTTGACTATCGTTGGGACCAGCAAGGATGGAGTAAATTGTGCCACACGTCTCGTCATGCAAGAGCTCCACTTGGCCAAGCTACCGGTGAAAACGAGCAAGACTATGTGGGCTGAAGAGCACAGACCAGGTGAGGCACTGGGTTTGTGGTGGTGGCCTGAAGGAGTCCTTACTGTAAAGCCCTCTATGGCCCGGAGACTGAAGATTCGGACCGAGGCCATACTGCAGAGTAACAAAGCTTCTCCACATCAAATGAAGGTGCTCTTGGGCTCCTGGACCTGGGCTTGCTTGCTCAGACGAGGCCTGCTCTCGATATTCAGCAGTGTATACTCTCTCACATTGCTTTCGAATCCAAACAAAGTCACGATATTGTCCAAACAGCAACGCAATGAGCTGGAAATGTGTTTGGATCTCTTCCCTCTCATGTATTGCGACCTTCGACGACCACTCAGCCCGCGAATTTATGCATCTGATGCGTGTCCAACCGGTGGGGGAGTCGTCTATGCTGACATGAAGGGTCGGGAACGTGGACAGTTTTTGGAAAACATTGACGAGACAAGGGTACGCAAAGGATGGTACTCCACATTGCAGGAGCTCTCCCGCGAAGACAAAGAGTTCGCGCTCGCAGCACTCTCGTTAGACTCTCGCAAGAATTCCCTTCAAGTTTCATCTCGTTTTTGCCGTGCCTTCGATCGTGCAGCTTTCAAGATTGCGATTAGCACGGGTTGGCGGCTCCGCAGGCAGCACATAAATTTGTTGGAGCTGGAGGCGGCACTACTGGCTGTCAGGCACATGCAGCGCTCCCCCCAGACCAGAGGGGCGAAGATTCCTCTTCTGATCGACAATATTGCTGTGGTTGGTGCCTTGGGAAAGGGGCGGTCCTCATCTCGCTCTCTTAATCGCCTCTGCCGTCGACTCGCCGCCGAAACAATCCTTGGTGACGTTGCGCTTCTTCTTTACTGGGTCCCTTCCAACCTCAACCCTGCCGATGCCCCGTCGCGATCCGTCAAGATGTGAGCCCCTTGCGCGGCCAGCTCACCTGCTCCTACGAGACGAGGTAAGCGCAATTAACTTCCTGAGGAAAGCCGAGAAGAAAGAAAACACAGTCAGGGACTATAAAGGGGCTACATTGCGTTTCGCTCACTGGCTCGAGGAGCACTATCCGTCCTGCGAGTCAGTTACGGAGCTCGACCGACGCCTTGCTGAGTACGGTTGCCAACTGTTCACCGCCAATCCGAAGCGTGGGCAACATCAGAAATTCCTGTATACTCTCTACGGTATCGAGTTCTTTATGCCAGAAACCTCACAGCAGCTGCAATGTGCGCGGCAGGCATCGCACGGTTGGAAAAGACAGCAGCCTCCCAAATCCCCCCCGCCGTTTCCTCGACAAGTCGTACATGCAATGTGTCGCTACTACTGGGAACAGGGGGACAAGGAAGCCGTGTTTGCTTTTGCTCTTGGATTCCATGGCTACTTGCGCGCCAACGAGATATGCGCACTTCGATGTCAAGACATCTGCTTTCCCCATGACCCACGTCTTACGGCATTCTCGGAAACGCCCCTGGCCGGTTGCCTGATACGCGATGCCAAGACAGGCCAAAACCAATTCACCCCCCTCGACGATGCCTTACTCCTCTGTAAGCTCAAGAAATGGATCCGGAAACGTCAGTCTCTGAATTCTTCCGAACCCTTGTTTCCTGGCCTCACTTACAGCAAATTCTCACGGCGGCTCCGCCAAACGCTCGCCTTCTTCAACCTGGACCACGTTGGATTTACCTTGCACTCACTCAGACACGGGGGAGCTACTTGTGATTGGTTGTCGGGGTCCCCCTTCTCCCACGTTATGTATAAAGGACGGTGGCAGTCGGAAAAATCGTGCAAGCGCTACTTAAATGCAGGTAAGGGACTTTTAATTTGCATTCAGATGTCAAGATCCTCGGAGCAAGCAGTGAACTCATTTGCGAGACGATGGAATCGTCCCAGGAATGGGAAGGACGGAGAGAGGGGCACACATTCTGCGTCGCATGCAAATGCGCGCACAAGGAAACGTTCCCCTACCAGGCCTGGTAACTCGTCATAAACAATTGCTGCCACTGGGCCAGGTAGAGTCAAGACTTGGAACGCCGAAGTAGAATAGAATTTCGGGAGATGAGTTTTCTGTTTTGGTTGGAAAGATCGTGAAGATGCCCTAAGCCCGCCTACCCTCGAACATGTCGCATTCCTGTCCACCCTTTGACTTGTTCGATCTACCAAGTCATCCGCTGACGACATTAGTACCCCAGGGAGCCACCCCTTGCCAGTAACCCGACGGCAAGGGTCCTCGATATCGCGAGGATTGCTGATCCGCCGTCCACGGTTGCCGCAAAGGGGCGCCACTTCATTGCAACTGAGCAAGAGAGGTCCAAATTCAGGTCTGAGACACACTGGATGGGGGCGAAGAGACAGGAGAACAAACTGGAGATGGGACTCCTGTCTCCTCTTCAGTGGCGAAAGCGAACGGCCGTCGATACCGGGGCGCCCGAGCAGCGAGCATAAGGACAGGGCCATTGGTACGGAAAGGTGGTTGAAGGAGACGCAGTGGGAATCAAGTCGCGATAGGTCGCGCTGGAGGAGAATTGGGACGCTGTCTCGCGAGAGGCAGAGAGATTTAGTATCTATATAAGCGGACTAGGTTATTCATTCGGTGGGACTTGGGCAGCTTAGCTTCTTCCCTTTTGTTGCCCTCCCGCCTCCCTCTGTAACACATGTGTAGTTAATTCCTGAGAGAGGGGCACACATTCTGCGTCGCATGCAAATGCGCCCACAAGGAAACGTTCCCCTACCAGGCCTGGTAACTCGTCATAAACAATTGCTGCCACTGGGCCAGGTAGAGTCAAGACTTGGAACGCCGAAGTAGAAAAGCATTTTCGACACTTTTTCCTGACGCCACCGGGGCATCAGCCCTCGAGGGCGCGCGCGAGAATCCAAATCCAAAGCCCCTTTTTGAAAAGCAAAAAAGGACTTGGAGTTGTGCGGCAATATCCAGACGAAATTCGTATATGACCGCGAAAAACCAAAAGGTACAGAAACATTCATCGACAAATCTTGGCAGCAAACCGAAAGAACGGAGAACGCATTGCCTCCGGTAGTTACATATTTAAACAGAAAAACATTTTAATAGCAGTAGAGCTATGGTATCATCTTCAAAGATGCCTCGCGGTAAGCTGTTATCAGACTTGGAGAAAGGTGAAATCGTGGCTATGAAAAGGGAATGCATGAGCATTCCGGAGATCGCTCGAACACTCAGCAGATCTCCTCGTGCCGTACAAAACTTTTGCAAGCACCCAAAGCGGGTTGACGCACAGAAAGGCGCGCGCAACGCATCAAAAGTAACCGGAACTAGCATGCTTTTAAAACCATGCTTTTCGGTAACTTTTGATGCGTTGCGCGTGCCTATCTGCAGAAAAGACTGTTGCTTCGCGACGCAAGCAAAGGTGAAAAATCATGCAAGGAACTGAAGCTGTGCCTTGATATTGGGATTGGCGTTCGTCGCATTCAGCAGATTCTACGCGCAACACCTCACCAGAAATATAAAAAGATGCTAAAACGTCCACAGATGCTGGAAAGGCACAAAGTTTCCAGGTTGGAGTGGAGCAAAAAATACTGCAGAGAGGGAGTTCGTATTGGCGCCAGGTTGTTTTCTCAGATGAGAAAAAATTCAACCTAGATGGCCCGAATGGCCTGGCTTCATATTGGCACGATTTACGGCGAGAGGAAAAGGTTTTCTCCACCAGGCACCAAGGAGGAGCATCATTGTTCGTTTTGGGCTGCTATCTCCGTTCACGGTACGTCTCATTTAGTTCGTCTTCAAGGTACGATGGACTCTACGCAGTACTGCAGTGTCCTGGAAGAGGACCTGCTGCCGTTCGCCGCTGGTAATTTGGGAGAAAAATGGACTTTTCAGCAAGACGGTGCCTCATGCCATCGCTCTAAGTACACAAAAGCCTGGCTTGATTCAAAGAACGTCAATTTATTGGATTGGCCAGCCAAGTCCCCAGACCTGAACATCATTGAGAACGTTTGGGGTCGGCTCGCTCGGCGTGTGTATGCTCATGGGCGCCAATTTGACAATTTAGAGGACCTTGCTGATTGCATTATAGATTGTTGGTGTTCTATCACAGAACAGTACCTAGGAAAGCTTTACGATTCAATTCCCCGTCGCCTTGTACAGGTGTTGGAGAAAAGGGACGGTCCGACGAGCTACTAGTTGGCCACAGTAAAACTGTCAAGGTACTGCACCTTTTGGTTTTTCGCGGTCATATGCGAATTTCGTCTGGATATTTCCGCACAAATCCATGGAGTTCAAGTCGACTTGCAAGTCCTTTTTTGCTTTTCAAAAAGGGGCTTTGGATTTGGATTCCTGCGCGCCCCCTCGAGGGCTGATGCCGCGGTGGCGTCAGGAAACAGTGTCGAAAATGCTTTTATTCTAGATTGGGGGGGTGTATTTATGCAATTTCCGTGCACCGTACTGTTGTAATTTGTCGGTGATTCTACATTGCACGTCGGATCAGATAGCAGCAGGTGTTTTGACGGATGGCAGGGGTTCTAATCTACAAACAAAGAGTGAGAGCACAGTTGCGCTCGGAAACCCAAATGGCTAGTTTCCTGGTTGCTCAGGTTTATCTTCGCATGCTCTCCTTCTGCTCCCTCACTCTGTAGTATTTGCCTCTAGAGTCGTGGCTTAAATAGACGCCGTCTATGCTTAACTGTCAGTGCCGTTCTTGCCGTAAGGTCGCGTACTTCCAATGCTATCTTTTTGTTAACCGATACTGCCTGTGTTCGGTTTGCACATAACTGTTGTTTTAGAATTAGACTTTAAAATGTACGTTGCAATTGATCCCAACCTCGCCGGAGGTTGGCCTCAAACTGTACATTGCATTTGATCCCAATTTCGTCCGACGTTGCCTTAAAACTTAGTGCATAGTGAGATTCATTATTCCACATTCCCCCCAGTCACATAGATCGCATAAATGTGAACTTACTCATTTGTAAACATACGTTTTCTGAAGTCACTTCCATATTGCACTATCCAAAGAGTATCCAGAGTTCAATTCTACACAGATTATTCCACTTGAAGCTATCTGGTTGAGCATTGTGAAGGTGTTTGGGTTTCGCTTAGTGAGTGCATCAGCAGGATTTATCGCCCCTGCAATCCATCGCATATAGTCGAGCTCACGTGAGTCAAAACTGTTGCGTATCCGTTGAACAGTCGCTCTTAGCCTATAGTCCCTTCCTTCATGAAGAGTTGTTATCGTATCGTAAAGGCACTTAGAGTCCGTGAAGAGTTCATTCCTTGTCTCTGTATTTGGGAACACGCATTGCAGGCACGATTTGATGTAAAAACCTCGATCATCAGCATCGGGGCACGCCAGGATCTCAGCTCCGTATGGGGAGTACCTCACCCTACGTTGTCTGTTGCTACACCAGTCGGTGAAGTGAAAATAGTCCATCCCATTCTTCATTTCAATTCGAAGACCCGACAGTAGTCCTGTTTGCCCGTAACCACTACCCGAATTCTGGTTGAATGCTGCGTCGGAGAATGTTGATACGATTACGTTCTTGATCTCGTCTGGTTTCACTGCCCTGTACTGTGTTTCTGGCTTCAGTTTTAGTAGTTCTTTAAGCATATCATTTGTGTCGATGAGGTTTGTTACGCGGACCTTGCCGAGCATTTGCTGCATAGTTGACGTTACATATGATGCTTGAGGAAGGACGCCATTCCCTAGGTACATAAGTGTGGATGCGAGGAAGCGGTATTGCTTAACCTCCAGCTCTGTTGCCGGTTGTTCACGTTCCTTACGTCTTGCTCTGGAGATTTCAAGTGGCTTCAGTCGGTTGATATACCGCGTCATAGAGAAATTTATGGATCCTTGATCATCCTGCTCAATTTCTGCACCGTCAAAATAGAGCCGATTGTCAACCACTGTCTTTCCCAATACGAATCTTTTGCTCAGATGTAAGATGAAGTTGTTAATGTCTTCAACTGAACCTCCAAGTAGAAAATCATCCTTGACCTTGACAACTAAAAGGGTTATTCGGTTGTTTTTAGAACGTTTCACATAGAGCTGAGTGATTCCAAAATTCTCTCAAGCCCGGCGTCTGTCAGCATCCATTCCTCAACCACTTTTTGCCACTGGCGGCCTGCTTAAGCAGGCCGCCAGTGGCAAAAAGTGGTTTATGGAATCGTTGAATTCAACGATTCCATAAGGCAGTTTCAGTTGCTTCCACAGTATTCCTCTACAGAGCTCCATCATACTGCACCACTCGCGTGGTGGGCGTACATATATATCCCTGCTGATTGGTCCGCTCTGAAGATAAGCCCCTTTAACATCTGCTGTACCCAATCTGAACCCTAGGAAGGTCACCAATGACAGTAGCATGCGGACGACGAATAGAGAAGCGTTTGAGGATTCACTGCGTTGGCTATCTTTCTCATCATCTCTATTACCATGAGGTACAATACGCGCCTTTAACTTGCGTGACCCGTCTTCCTCTGATTTCAGCTTGTACACCACGTGCGAGGTAATAACGTTGGCGTTACGGGCGACATCTCTGTCACTCACTTCTTCATAAACTTCAACCCAGTTTGAATCGTGCTCAGATCGTAGGGCGTCTTCTAATATCTGTAGTAGAACGTGCCGCGCTCGACCGGCTGCGGGTAGCGGGAGCTGCGACACGTCGTACTGTAGTTCGAAGCGTACGAGACGCGACGAGTGCCGTGCACACGTGTAGTAAGAACCACAAAACAAGACAGAAGAGAGTTCGGTAGCTGGTTGGTAGAGGTTTTGGTAGAACGGTGTGGGTTTGACACAACGATGCCACGAAAACCAGATCGACGTCCTCGACGTGGTACCTCGACGCCGTGCGGAGGCGACGCCGTCACGGAGGACGAATCCAGGCGCTATGCGGAGCGCTCGTCGTGCGTTACCCCTGCGGTGGAGTACTTTTCGTTGTACTCGATGTACAAAAAGGAAAGACGAAAACGTAGTCAGGCGAAAGACTTAGGCACAAAACCAAGGGACAAAGGGGTCGGCCCTCGAGATGATGCCACTGCGTTGATCGATGATCCCCTCGAGTCCTTCCCCTTCCCTACTTTAGTATATCTACTACTGTAGTCCCCATTCTTACAGTGCCAGACTGTAACGGTACGACTACACGTCGGGCAGTAACGGTCCTGCACTTGGGCGCCAGCGAGGTACGCCGGTATCATACACTAGACGGTATGATTCGAGTACAGTACGTACACGGACGCAAATTGCGCTGCCCAACTTACCGGGCGATAAGGTAATTACCTTTCGAATTGGGAATTAACCAATGCGGTCCTTGTCATACACCATTGGGTGTTCGAGTACAGTATGTACACTAGTGGACACTTGGCGATATACCACATGGCTCCCTCCTCGCCTTGAGCGTCCCGCTCAAATTTTGCAAAAATTATTTTCTGAAAAATTACACACGGCGCGTACGCTAGGGACTCATGTGTCCCACTTCATAATTTGCGCAATTAAGCAGGACAAATCAGCTGCGGACACGTGTGTCCTCGTTTGGCCACGGATTTTGCCAAGCGTGCATCTCGCCGTCGGATTTCGAATATGTTGACAGCGCAGCATGTGGTGCGACCGCGCGCAGCGAAGGGGTAGACGATCGGTCCGTCTCGTTTCAGTTTGTCGTCCCACGACTCGTTCTCCATTTCTCAGTGCAATTCGATCACACTCCGTTGTTCTTCTGCATAAGGTAAGCCGTGCGAGCTTCCTTTCGTTTTCCGTACCGCGGGCGTCACCGGTTGCTCCGCGCAGTCGTTCTGACTTAACAGATCGTGTTTTTCGGCGTCCTTTTTGTGACGTAGACGTATCCCGCGCGAATCCGCCTCGCTTGCGATGTCTCCCAACGACAACGTTTTGCGAAAGCTTGCGCCATCGCTCGCGGACAGGCCGTCTGTTCCTGTTTCGAGTTCCCCGCCTACGCTTGGGCTCGCATCGGTACGACCGCCTGCCGTCGTCACCACCGAGGTTCCTTCCGTCTCGTCGGGACTCCCCGTCGTTACAGTGCCATCAGGGCCTGTTCGTATGTCCCCAGATTTTTCAGGAGGCGATCCTGTCGTTTGTTCGTCGGGGAACATCGTGGACAAGCAAGGTCCTCCCGCTGTGGGCTCTTCATCGGCGTCAGGCCCATCGGGGGTCTGTGATCACGCATCGAACGTGCCGTTCGGCGTTGCGAGCCTGAAGCCGACGCGCCGGTCTGCTCTGGAGGAGGCTGGAAACGTGAACGTCACCAAGCCCGGTGGCCTTATGACGTTGCGCCGTTACAAGTGGTACGGTGCCACGCCAAGTTATTCAGCATTTGGAAGCTGTCGCGTCCCGGGATATCCGTACACAGGATCCCCCCCAAGCGAGGGCGTCTTGCGGATCGGTTCCGCAACGTCGCTGCTCGGCCGTGCCGATACTTCCGCTCAATCGCTACCGAAAGCAGGATTGACGTACGAATGGGAGGAGTTTCCTCGTGTAGACGTGACACTCGAAGATGTCCTTTCCGTGGACAGTCGCCGTCCTGACCTCCGTCGGTTCCAGAAAATGGCGGGAGGTGGGACATCGTCGTCCATCGTTACGGCCTGGGAAGAATATTTTCGGCAGGGACCCGCGTTTCAGGTGCCTTTGGAAATTCCGTGTG